GTGCATGGGAGCGGCTGCGGGAACGGCTGTCCGAAGATGTGGTATATGAGGTTGAAGGGGAACGGCGACGCCGGCGGCGTGTCGACGACGCTTTGGCAGTAGAGGCTGCAGGAGAGCGGTGACGTCCGGCGTGCTTAGGACGTGTATGGCGACTGTGGTGGCGGCGACGACGTCGGCTGCGGCTTCTGCTGCGGCCAGTGGTTGCATGAGAGGCCGGTGTTGTGTGAGACGTGCCTGAACGGATGGGGGCAGCCGCGAGAGGTTGCTTGTGAGACCCCGGAGTGGGCATTGAAGGTGCTTGCGTTGGGGACGGCGGCGGTGGCGGTAGTGGTGGAACGGTGGCTGGTGGTGGAGCAAAGTGAGTGGCTGGTGACGTGGAGGGTGGCGTAGCGATTGTGGTGGTGGTGGTCTGAGTGGAATTGGCTGGTGGGGGGACGTTCGGAACGTCCGGTGCGGGCGGCGTGGGTGCCCCCGCGGGGGGTGTTGGAGCAGAAGGAACAACGGTGGTGGGGCTGATGCTTGATGTGGCGACGGGTGAGCAACGGGTGGAAAGAGGGAGTAAGGCTGCCAAACGCCTTGAAGGTGGTCTCCATGAACAGGAGCTTGCTGGATTGGTGGTTGTGGTTGCGGTGCTTGCGGAGCTGGTGAAGCCGATGGGGCTGGTGATGCCTGTTGCAAAGAGGGTGGGTGGTGGAAAAGGTGTGCTGGCATGGTTTCAAATGTCTGCATCTGAGGTGGTGCTGGATAATATGCATGTGTGTGAGGTACAAAAGTTGGCGCCGGTGGAGGATGTGTTGGTATGGGATGTGGCCACGTAGGAGGTGGCAGCTGCGGTGGAGCGGTCTGAAAGTGAGGGAGGAGTGACTGCTGTGGTGGGTGAGACTGAACAGTGGGGACAGGTGCCGGTGGTAGAGATTGGTGTCATGGTGGTGGTTGAGTGCTGACAGTGGGTATTGTGGATGCGGTACACGGTGGTGACCATTGTGGATATGGCCAGGGAAACTGCATGGGACGAGCGATGGAGAGGTCAATCCAATAGGCTGCGAACAATGGCGCCGGCGCGGCACAGCAGCGGAAGTGAGAAACTTGAAAATGGCAGTGAATTCTGGAACCTGAAAACGTGTGCTGTGAAAAATTAATTAAGGTGAAAACTCGGCATGCAGTGGAATCTCTGGGATGTGAGCATGTGTACGTTGATCATCGGTCAAATGGCTGCGGGTTAAAAAATTGGGAAATGCAGTGACCAACGTCATGACAGTGCAGGACCAAATGAGTCAGGTAATCTCGATGGTGTCCTTCGTTTATAGCCCGGCGGCTCGAAAATCAGGAAATTCAGAAATAAAATGAAGGAACAAAAGGTCAGTTATAAACAAGCAGGATCGATGAAATCCGGAATGGCGTCGGCGCCTGTACCCACGTGGGAAGACTGAGCGGTCCACACTTCGAACTTGGGTTTTCAGTTAGACTCAATTGCCACGATGGGAAGGAAGGTGAGGGAACGGAAAGGTGCATGGGTCGGCAAAAACAATATTGTTTAAAAATGTTTCCGAATGGCCTCGAAGTTGATCTGTACAATCAGTGCGGTGACAAGCTCAGCTGCAGGAAAGTGGGTTTAGGGGAGGAAACATGAACGACCATGGAAACAAAAAGCAGTAGTGGACAGCTTGACCAAAAGTTCACGTTGCAGGTACAAGAGCCGGCGTCCCAGCTCTCTTCCAACTGATTTCCGTAGCTTCGTTGGCACGGATGGGAAATCAGTCTCCGTGCCCCCTGCCTGTGGAAAATGTGGTGAAGGTGGGGAAAAACCCTTAGAACCAGGGTGTGACACACACACACACACACCTCCCTTTCACCCCTGGTCGTGCACTATTTCAATGGCCACAGGGACGCTCCCTTTCCTGGAGGAGTTCCAACCACTTTTCACGTCCCGTTGTTGACCCTCTTTCCTATCATCGCATGAACTCCCACCCATGGTAGAAGACGGTTTACATTGCCTCCTGAGCCCCTCATGATGCTAATGGTGCACTATTCGCCGTCAATTACATCACTTGCATCACAACACCCCAAGAACCATACATTTTCACTCCCTAGTTTTTTTTTCGCTCTCCCCCACCAGGCTCGGGGCTCGCCCTCCCATTGGCCTCTGTGCGACCACCCCCCCCACACCCCCTAATATTCACTTCGTTCGTCCATCCCAACTCCAGCCTAGCCTGTCAGCAGGATTTCGTGATTTCTCAAAATTTGCCTTGTGTATCGTGGTAAAAACAAAGGCGCTGGCAATTCGGCCGCGACACTGGCAAGTAACCCCCCGTAGACACGTCAGAAAACGAGCTGGAAATTTAGTTTCACGGTCCGCTTTTCGCACACTTTGTCTATTTTTGTACCTTTGTCGTGGGTCGTATGCTTTTGCTTGCTTGTTTTTTTTGTCGGTTGATGTCGGTTGTATTTTTACTTTCCGTAGCGCTTGCGAAGGGTTCTTCTGCAGAAAGGGTTTGCGTTACAGACCTGCATTACTAAACTACATTTGAAACTTATATATCTGCGTTTGTAGGTATGCCACAAGCACCTCTGCAGCTTGCAGGTGTGGTTTTCTAGAGAGGTTGCGATGGGGATAGTAACACGACACTTTGCGGAGATGGTGCGTGCCGGATGCTCAAAGGTGAGGTAAAGTGCGAATTAGTGGTGTGCCGGGTGAACCTTTTGCAGAGATCGCGCGCATCGGATGCTCAAACGTGAGGCGAAACGCAAATTCGTGGTGAAGTCGGTAAACCCTTTGTGGAGATCGTGTGTGTGTTGAGTTGCCAAAGTGTAACTGTCGTCGAAACAAAGGTGCATGTACAGCGATGGCGACGGTTAGGCTATGAAGGCGCCGTGTCAAGGCGCTTCATGGCGTTGGGGCAGGGACAATGTGAGATGAATGATTGCCTACTCAAATCAATCTGCTGACGCATGCTTGATCTGCGAATTGCTCGCAATAGGAGTGTTGGCATCTCTTACATGGGTGTAGATAAACCTGCATAGTACGCCCACAACCTCACTAGAAACCTGTGTCCAATGTGTTTTTGTTATGAAAAACTACAGTGTCACTTATTGAGCTAACCGCCTATAGCGCTATAGGCTATACTGTCCTCAATGCCACAGGTTTGGGCGTGAAGCGATCTATCCTGTTTCAAGCGAAGAAACCCGATAGCTTGCGAACGGATCTATCGGATCCTGCGATTAAGAGCTTGGCCGCCTTGAGCCACTGCATCTGCATAAAGTGTACAGGCTTAGGCTTAAAGAGTACACCGAACGCTCCAGCTTCAGCAAAACTTTCAACCCAAAACTTTTTTGCGCGCAAGAGATACAGGCGATCTTTCGTCTTTCTACCTGTGCGAAAGGGTATTACTTTCCTCGCCAGTCTGCCAAAATGTTGTGCAGGACAATCAGAAAACCTTTGAGGGCCTGGCACAAGCTCACCATTAGCCAACGCAAAACTGACCAACATCATTCTACCAGCAAACCTTGATTCCATCTGCTGCCGCAGTCTAGAAAGTAACGGGCTCCGGCCGGGTTTCTGGTTTAATGGTGTTTCTGGTTCTTGTTGTGGGTTTGTTCCTGGCGTTGGTTCTCGGGTTCGCTTCCCGCCTTGCAAGTTTTATGGTTCCTGGTTTGGTGTTTGGAGCTGGCTGGATTGGTGTTTCTGGTGGCCGGCGGTGTTTCCGGCACCCGGAAGGTGTTTTTCGGCTCCCGCACGGAAAGTATATATATATATATATAAGGAACAGGTGTTTCCGGTTCCGGCCGTTGACAATGGCTGAACGAAAAAAGCAAACAAAGAAAATTCATAAACAGTACAACAAAACCAAAGGAACCAAGGCCAAAGAACCAAACGACAAACGAAGAAAGAATCAAACAAAACACAGCCAACCAACAAACAAACAAGCAAGCAAGCAAGGAAGCAAGCAAGCAAGCAAGGAAGGAAGCAAGGAACGAAGCAAGCCAGCCAGCAAGCCAGCAAGCAAGCAAGCAAGGAAGCAAGGAAGCAAGGAAGCAAGCAAGCAAGGAAGCAAGCAAGCAAGCAAGAAAGCAAGCAAGCAAGCAAGCAAGGAAGCAAGCCAGCAAGGAACGAAGCAAGCAAGCAAGCAAGCAAGCAAGCAAGCAAGCAAGCAAGCCAGCGAGCGAGCAAGCGAGCAAGCGAGCAAGCGAGCAAGCGAGCAAGGAAAGAAGGAAGGAAGGAAGCAAGCAAGCAAGCAAGGACGGAAGGAAGCAAGCAAGGAAGCAAGGACGCAAGGAAGGAAGGAAGGAAGGAAGGAAGGAAG